TTTCCAACCAATCCTTGTTTTGACTAGTGCTCAAGGAGAACAATCTGTGATTGAGCACTGGCTAGTTAAAAAAGTTGTCTAGTACACGAGATTTTCATTATTGTAAGAACTGAAAAAAGTCAAATATATAATTTTTTATCTCTAAATTATAAAAAACTATTTTATAATTCGAAATTGAAATGCCTAAATCAAAGTCGAGTAATTTTATTGTTGTACCAATGTTTACCCTATCTTCAATAGCTAGTTTTAATCTAATTCGGCTAGTTTTCGGAATTTCATTGAAAATTATTTTTGTCTTTAAATTTTCCTTGTATTTCTCATTACCAGGACTGTATATTTTTTAAGCCATGACAAATGGATTTGTTAAACATGATATTCGAAACCATTTGAAGATGTGAGTTCCTCAATTTCTTCAATGCGAGATATTTCAGCATCTATTAATGGAAGATTCATTTGAATGGGTTGATTTTATTTAAATTCATAATAGACCATCTAGCACCGAGAACCATTTGAAGATGTGGTTCTGAATATTTTGAACATGGATAGTGAATTGGTGCATGGAGCAAGTTAGGGGTTTGGAGGACGATTACAACAAAGATGTCTAAAACTTTTGTTAGTGATTAGAGTTCCATGATCTCTCTCTGATGTACATTTACAGGTGCATGCCAATGATCAAATAGCCCACCAACAGCATGTGAGAACAAAACAATGTTTTTGTTAATTTGAAATCGATTCTCAATCTTATTACAAAAATATTATTCAACAATTTGTCAATAAGGTCCTCCATCTTTCATATCTCCGAAAGTGACATTTTTTTTTCTTTTTAATGAGAAACACTCAAATTTCTATTCCTTCTATTCCAATAAAAAAAAAAGTAATGTTTTTTTCCGCAATTTCCAGTGCCCCAATTTATGAATTTATAACTTTATTGTAATAATTTAAATGAGGGCAGACCTTAGCATAATGAAAATGTTGTTATATTATGAGAAGAGCGCAATAATCGAGCCTTTTGTATTAGACTGTCAATTTTTTTTCATAAAACTTATTTAAATAATAAAATAAAGGGTTAATTTCACTAGAAGTCTTTAAAGTATAAGATTTGTCTCAGTTTAGTCCCTAATATTTTAATTGCATAATTTTGATCCCTAAAGTATTGAATATGTTTCTATGTGGTCCCTCAAACAGACAACATCCAAATTATTAATGATTTTTTTATCATAAACTTGTCACGTGATGCCTAAATATATATAAAAAAAAATAATTTGGGTAACTCTTGATCAAAATTTGGGTAACTCTTTATTAAAATTTAGGTAATTCTTGACAAAAAATATGTAATATGGGTGGTTATTGACAAAAATTTTGATAGCTCATGATAAAAATTGTATAATTTAGGTAGCTCCTTAACCAAAATTTGGATAGAAATTTGGCTAAGAGTTATCCAAATTATTTGTTTACCTATATTTACGTATAACATAACAAGCTTATAATAAAAAATCGTCAGCAATTTGAACGCTGATTGTTTGACGGGTCACATAAAAATATATTCAATATTTTAAAGATTAAAATGGTATAATTAAATAATTTGGGATCAAAATGGGATAAACTTCAAACTTTAAAAACTTTCATTGTAATTAACCCTAAAACAAAAGTCCAATCATTGATTTAAGGGCCATTAGGAACAGTCCAATGGGCCAATCATGTGTTCCATGGTTTCACGTAACGACTGCCTTGACCCCTATGGATGGACTGTTGATTGATGCGGCCCGACCGACCCGGACCAACCTCGACTCTTACCTTACCTGTCTAGGAAATTATAGCTTTAATAATTGAACTGATAGTTGAGAATTCATTTGGATTTGAAGGTATTCGTTTTCAATTTCGCCTCTAGAAGTTGGTCCTGTTTCAATAATTGAACATCACAAGCAGCCGTGCATTAGGCGGCTTTTTGAGATATACAGATTCATAGAAGTTTTATCCATTTTTAGTATACAATAATTGATGAGTCGCATATATTACTATTATTAGAAAAAACGGTTAATTATACTAGAGGTCTCTAAAATATGAGATTTATCTTATTTTAGTCTCCAGTATTTTAATTGCATAATTTTGGTCTTTGAAATATTTAATATGTTTTTATATGGTTTTTCAAGCAAATAATACCCCAGATTGATAATGATTTTTTATCATAAACTTGTCATGTAATAGTTAAATATGGATAAAAAATAATTTTGATAGTTCTTAAACAAAATTTGGGTAGCTCTTTACAGGAAAATGTATAATATGAGTAGTTTTTGACTAAAATTTGGATAACTCATGATCAAAATTATATAATTTAGGTAGACATTTAACCAAAATTTGAGTAAAAATTTGGTGAAGAGTTATTCAAATTATTTTTTTGTCCATATTTAAGTATTATGTGACAAGTTTATGATAAAAAATTACTAACAATGTGAATACTGTCAGCTTAAGAGACTATATAGAAACGTATTCAATATTTCAGGGATTACAATGATGCAATTAAAATATTATGGACCAAAATGACACAAATTACATACTTTAGAGATATCTAATGTAATTAATCCTTAAAAAAATTAAATAAATTGCGAGCTTGAAATAAGAGTAGAATAGAGAAGAGCCAACAAAAAAAAAAGTATAATACAATCGTAACATTTTTAATCTTGACTCAAATTTATAATTAATTTTAAATTTAAGTAAAAAAACTTACTTCAAGTTTAACTTAAACATATATCAAATCGAGGAAGACTCATTTTGTTACTCAAATTAAATGATTCAAATCTTTACCCAAATCTTTAATGATGAGATTTTACTCTCTTTTAAAGATCCAATAATTATCTTTACTCTCTTTTAAATTTAGATTTACTCTCATTTGAATTTGTATTTCTTCTTCTTTAAATTTGAGTCTATTTATTGGAGTCATTTGTATCACATTAAATTTTTTATTTAAATATTAATTTAAATTTAAGTAAAAATTTGAGTCTTGTTTAGAGATAAAGAGAAAAATAACTAACGAAACCTTACTCTCGACAAGAATTAACCGCTCTTGCTCGACTTTTTCGATTGAGAGTATCAAGACTAATCAATTAAATAGGCTCAATTGACTCCATTTTTAACTTGTTTGTGGGCGTTAGTTAATCGGGAGAGCTGGAAAAGTTGGATTGGATACACTCTTTTCTATGTTATCAGCAATGCAACAAGTGCGTTGTATATGAATAATTTTTATATATACAAATTAATAAAATATATTAAGTATATGCATATCTAAATTAAATATTATTTTAAATTTATCAAACTTAATTTATAATTGTTCATATTCTATTATAAAATTATGAAAATTTTGTATGCTCCTAAAATTCTCTATTCTTATTATAAAAAAATTAAAAATAGTTAATTTTTTTAAAAAGAGTAATTTTGTGATTAAGATTGAAGTTTTAGTGATGTTTGAGGAATTAAATTTCTTGAAATTCATTTGATTAGAATTCTCCTTATAATTTGTTAAATAAAATAAAAGTAATTGTCAATATACTAATCACATTAGAACATTATTGTAATTAGAAATCAGGTAGGTCAATTAGGATAAGATTTAATATATTACTCTATAATATATATTATCAACCATATTAAAATTCTAAAAAATTCAAGTTTTATTTAAAAATACACTACAATATCTATTTTTTCATAGAATCTTAGCAAAACTTAAAAAATTTATTGTAACCGAAGAATTATGATAAATTTTAAAAAACTATATATACTATTATTTTTTATCTTAGAAATGAAATAGTTAAACTTTTCGATAAAAAAGAAAATATACATAAGTAAACATAATGTTACATTTGCATATGAGATAAGAAATATTAGATTGATAGAATTTTTGAACATTTTTTGAACATTTTATTAAAAATATAATGATGCATATTTTTTAAGGGTAATATAGTCAATCACTTTTTTTTTAATAGAGACTGATATGTATACATAGAGAATAAATAATTAAAAAAATATTATAGATAATTTAGAGATTTAAATACATAAAAATATGATGATAATTTAAACATTTAATTGTAAAATGAAAAAATGGTCTTTGTAATTTTTTATAAGGGTAAAATAGAGATTTAAAATTTTTTCATCATAAGATATTTTTATTAGTAGTATAAATAAATTATTTGTAAAAATTAACAGAATTATTTGTTCTATGCAATGTGAGTTTGGGAATGTGTCTGAAAACAGGTTTGAGATAGTTTAATAGAAAGACATCCTGACATCTTTTTTTTTGTTGAGAATAGACATCTTCTTCTTTAAGGCAACCCCTTTTTCACGTGCGCAGTGGGCTTCTTGGGACTGGTCAATAGTTCTAGTTTATTTTTTAAGTGAATGACACTTTGCACCTTGAAAAGTTTTAAAATTTTTAATTTACACCTTGAAATAATAAAACTTTCTCATTGATTAGCACAAAAAATTTCATGTAAAATATTTAATATAGGAAACTATTGAAATAGTTATAGATAAAAATAAGAAAATATAACAAAGATAGCATGGAATTATCGGATAAAACAATAAACATTCATTTGGACCACATTCATACCTTTTTATTTGATTGGGAGTGTAATGCAAGGATTTTAATCTCTCAGACTATAAATTGAGAATTTAAAGATCTTTCGGTGCACAAATTATCATCCAGCCTTTTTTTTTTTTTTTTTGAGTTGAATAATATGTTAGCTGGTTTTAGCATTCGATTGGATATTTGTATTACCCCACATTGAACAACGCAAATTTGCCTTCCCATCCTCATTTTAAATTAGGATTGTAGATTTGAAAAAAAAAAAAAAGAGAAAAGAGAAAACAATTGCCTGAATACCCAAAGACCTTTTTGCCCATAATACCAGTCTATATGTACACCTCTCCCTCTACAACCAGCGGCAGTATCAGTGAAACGACCTACCACTACCACTAGCCTACACCAACACATAGTCACACACACTCATCACCGGAAAATGGCTGCTGCAGCACCACCGCCACCACCAGCCTCAACGCCCGAACCCAACCTCACGCTGCCAGGAGACCACCCACTCGGCCACCCACTCTTCGCCCGAATCCGCCTAGCCACAAATTCCGACATCCCCCACATCCACAAGCTCATGCACCAACTGGCCGCCTTCGAACGCCTCTCCCACCTCTGCTCCGCCACCGAAGCCTCCCTCTCCACCACCCTATTCAGCCCCACCACCATACCCTTCCACTCCTTCACCATCTTCCTCCTCGAACTCTCTCCCTCCCCCTTCCCCTTCCCCCTCACCACCACTCACCCCCACTCACCCCCACTTCACTCCAATCCTTAAAACCATCAATCTCGATTCACCCATTATCGACCCAGAATCGGAAACCTTCAAATCACCTGGGAACGACGTCGTCGTTGCTGGGTTTGTGCTTTTTTTCCCGAATTATTCGACGTTTTTGGCGAAGCCAGGGTTTTATGTGGAGGATTTGTATGTGAGAGAGTGCTATAGGAGGAAAGGGTTGGGGAAGGTGCTGTTGTCTGCTGTGGCGGCGCAGGCGGCGGAGATGGGGTACGGAAGGGTGGAGTGGGTGGTGCTGGATTGGAATGTGAATGCCATCAAGTTCTACGAGCAAATGGGGGCCAAAGTGCAGAAGGAGTGGACGATCTGTAGGTTGGATGGTGACGCTCTGAAAGCTTATGCTAGTTTTGTTTGATAATGGTCCTAAACATGATATTATTATCATAGTATTATTAACCAATTATAGGCTTGTGACACATGCTGTCCATGATGATTTGGGTTTTTTTTTTCGTTTAAAAAGTTTGAAGTGATGAGAAAATGAGAATTGGGTTTATGTTTAGTGATGATTAATGATTTCGGCATGCTACAGTGGGGATTTAGTGTTGGGTTCTGGGAGATGTAAGACGCTACCATGTTTCAGATTCTAATATATCATGTAACGCTATATTTTTTTAAGTAATTTTACTTCAATCATTTTTGGACCTTTTAATATTTAATTTACTTTGTTTTGGGTACATATATTTCATTTATTTTTTGCTAAAATATTTGGCTGTCTACTTTGTTTGTTTCAAATGTTGGTCTTTTCCCGATTTATCAAAACTTGACCGAACATCAAATCGATAGATGTACAGTTTCAATAAATCACTGGTTCAACTGGTGGTTTAATTGATCAGATCAGTAATATAATAGGAAAAAAAATAAAACATACTAAGAAATTATAATAAGTATAAAGATAACATGTTTAATGTAATAGTAGATCAAATAAAAGTAAAAAAAACATAACTTATTAATTTCTTAGATAATTTACAAAGTTTAAAAGTGCATAAAAAATTTACTAAGCATAGAATAGCAAATCCTAAGAAGTATACTTCAAAGAATCAAAGTATGAAAAGATAAAAAAAAAATGTCAAAAAAAGAAAGATATAAAAAAAACATAAGAAGACCCAAATATTTATATAGAAAAAATTACACCCAAATTCCGTAAGGTTTTTTAGTTAATCACTTAGATTTTTGGATATTTAAAATATAATACATAAACCCTCTGAAATTTATACGCATGTAATACTTAGACCTTTTTCGTTAATGTCTATTAGTATATTCATTAATAAATTATACTTAGGTCTCCTGAAGTTTATAGACGTCTACCACTTATACTTCTTAAGTATAAAATATTATATTTAAACCTCATATTAGTTACCTCAATTAAAGATAAAAGATATTGTGTCCATTATAGTTTAACATCTTGTTTGATTTTTTTTTTTTTTATTGCAATAGACCGTATCATTATGTACAAATAAATGCTAAATTGAATTATTTGATATATTTATACTGATTACTATTTTTTTCTCAAAAAATTAAGATTTTGTACGGTTTTTATGTCAATAGATGATATAATAGAACATACAAATATGTTGATTAGACTTATTTCATATATTTGTACTTGATAATGAAAAAATTAAGCTAAGATGAAAATTCCATTTAATCCAAATCCAAACTGACGTGGAGGTCGTACAAGTTTTGGCATCAAGAGTATAATTATGATTTTTTAAGAAAAAAATAAATTATTATTTTTAATTTTATTTCAATAAATGACATAACATAACATAAATTTTAGTTGTAAAATTTAAAATATTTGATAATATTTTAAATTTGAGAAGTTTAAATATTATACGTTTCAAATTTCAAAGGTCTGAATTTAATTTACTAATGGATATTTAGCGACAAGAGTCTATGTGTTATTCGTGTACAAATCTTAAGAAGTTTATGTGTAATATTTTAAATATCAAGAGGCCTTTCCTCATCCACCCCTCTTGACATTCCAATTATGAAAGTTCCAAATTGAGAAACGACCCTTTACATTCTTGATGGGTAGAATCGGGTCATTATATAGGTAATATATCACATGTTATGCATTTTGCATAGGTAATATCTACACGTTTCATGGTTAATTGTGTAAAATTATTACTTTAATATTTTTTATCGAACAACGCTGATAAGTAATGCAAGAAATTTAAAATAACTAGTTGATACACACATGTTTTGCATGTGAATAATTTTAAATTATATATTGATATTACCTTTTTTTTTATTTTTTGTGCATGAGGGCGCAAACATGATAACTATTCAAAAAATAATTATTTTATATTTTAAGTATATGTTGGAAAAATAATTTATAAATAATTACATATCGTGTTTTGTTTTTCACTAGATTTTCTCTTGCTTTCTTCACCTCCAATTTGTCTGGAAAGTCCAACAGACATTTTTGTTTGTGTTGGGGTTTAACCCATTTTAATGTACAATTTTTAGTGATGAATACAAATTAATTGTAAAAAAAAATAGTAATAACAACAGATTAAAAAGTGCAAGAGAAACACAACTCCCTAAACTAGAAAAACAACGCAAAAAAATTTAATCCTGGTGTGAGATCCAAGGTAAGATAATCAAAATTTTAATTATAACGTGAAAGAGAAATAACAAATTGAAAATAAAAAAAAAATTAATTTAAAATATGAAAATTTGATTCTCAAGCTTGATATAATCATCGTCACTTAAAATGATCGCAACAATTTTTATGGACAACTTCAACAAAAAAGACGAATATTTAGATTTATCTCCATCCAAATTGTAAGGCTGAAATGTGAGAGGAGTGAGAAAATATCAAATTATTTTTATAGGATCTTGAAATTATTCAAAACATTGCCCAAAATGTATCCAAAAGCATTGAGAAGATCTATAACGTGGTATTCAAAAAAAATCCTTTTTTGAACTTGAAAATTTGGCCGACCAACCAATTTATGGCTAGGAGATAAAAGGGCAAGAGTCTTATCATAATCTTTGCTTCTTTATTTTACTGTAACTCCCACGGAGTCCAACATCATTTAGTGAACTAATATTTTATTAATTGTTAATTGAGCAATAAGAAATTACTTAAAAAAATATTATTGTTTTTAAGTATTTTGTTAAAGATAATATTATTAAACAAAAATTTTTGTGGCGAATGACGGTGACAGTAGGTGTGGTGGGGGGGGGATGACAATGGGTGATAGTAATGGTGGGCGATGACAATTGATGATGGTTGGTGTGGTGGGAGTGGGTGATAGTGGTAGGGGGCTATAGTGGGCGACAACAGATGGTAGTGGGTGGCGGTGGGCAACAATGGTGGTGGTGGGTATTGATAGTGGACGACAGTGGTAATGGAATGATAGTGGTAGTGATAATAACTATAAGAATAAGGTGACGATTGAGATGGGTAGTAGTAGCGGACAACGATGGTGATGGGGTGGCAACGACGACTGTGGTGAGATGGCAGTGATAATAGTGATGGTTGTGCGGGTGGTGATGGTAGAGTGGCAACAAAAGTTGCGGTGAGGCTGGGTTGGTGGTGGTGATGGTGATGGTGGTGGGGGGTGGTTGTGGGGATGGTGGTGGGGGGTGGTAGTGGGGTGGCAATGATTGTGATAGAGGTGATAGTTGGGTGGCGACGACTATGGTCATAGGGTGGCAGCAACAATCATTGTGGTGTGGTGGGGGTGGTGATCGTGAACGTGATAGTGGTGGTGGTGGTGGTTGTGTGTGGTAGAGGTGGTGGCGATGGTGGTTGTGATAAAGGTGGTAGTGGGGGTGGTAGCAACGACAATGGTCGTGGTAGTGGGGTGGTGATGGTGGTAGCAGTGGTCATAGTGGTGGTGGGGCAATGGGTGGGGTAGTGGTGATTGTGGTGGGGTGGTGGTGGTGAAACCGTTTTAAACACTATTTTTTTAAAAATATTTATAAAAATTTATAAATTCTAGAAGGACTTTTAAAAAGTCACCACAAATACACCCTTAAGGACATATTTTCTTTATTAAATTTAAGATGTTAATATTAGCCGTCGGATTAACTTTAAAACAAAATTTAAAGAGATCTTAAGCACAAAATACAAACGTTATTTTGTTTATCTTTTGAAATTTGAATTGTATTGTACTTTATTATATAGATAAATAAATATAGATATAAGGAGTGTTTTTGAAAATTAATAATGTACATGGCGTGTGGATGAAATATTTTTTAAATTCTTTCTCTTGCATAATTTTTATGATTTTCATGAAAATTGACTCGAAACCCATGCTTGGGTTAAAAAAACAAGAAAAAATTTGGATGTAACAAAATGATAAACGTTTTTGTAAATGCATAAGAAATTGAAAAGAAAAAGGTTTTTTTATCTTGATATAATTATTATTATGTATAGTGATATATCATATCACCGTGTAATAATAATTATTACATAAGAATGAACATTTATTATATAACTACATTTAACTCAACTCAGCTCATAATTTATCCAAATTATTTACAGTGTCAACTATATGAATTATATTTTTCCACTATACTCGATTCTATGTTATATGTGACTTTACTATTCAATTATGTCATTGATGATTTTATATCACCTTTATACTGAACGTTTGTTCATTAACTTAGATCCATCATATTGAATATGTTACCTGTCCACTTCATGCTTGCTTCTTGCGGGCAGAACAATGGAAATAAGGCTTCACCCATTGAGCTCGGAGCAGTGTGAATGTGATCGTTGGTTTTTTAAGTTCTTGTAGGCCTAGAAGAAGTATAATTTGTGATCATTAGCCAAGGTTTTTTTTTTTTTTAATTGTAAATCTTCAAGCGACTTGTGAGAAATCGAACCAAGTTTTAAAAATGATAAGAATTGATGGTGTAATTTACGCGGTTGTGTAGCAAA